TAAGTTGGTCACCATGAAGAAAGTGGGCAGTTATAAAGTAATTAAGTAGTTTCTAAGCGGTTGATCACAAAGAGATCATCAAAGGAATATAAAAGGAAGAAAGACATAGAGCAAAGAGGCCGAATCAAACACTTTCAAACAGAGAATATGTAATTTCAATTCCTTAGTTTAGACTTAAAATATTTCTTTTTAGTACTCGTGTGCTTGCGCCCCTTGGAGGCATTCTGTTTAAATTCCAATTGTAAAATTATCGCCAATAAAACACCCCTTTTTGGGACTTTGTCTCAAGAGATTTGTTCCTTTCACAATCGTCTGATCCCTTTTTAATTGTCAGCAACTACCCACGCTAAACAAACATAGAAGAAGAAATAATGCAAAAATGAAAAATAATTGAACATTAGACAAGCTATATAATCGCACGTATAAAGTGAACAAATGATTCATTTGGGATTTCAAGATTTCTTCGCAAATATAATAACAACTTAATTTTTAATAGACAGATTATTTTAGTCGCTTCAAGCTTTTATTCGGATTGGCTGAGGAAAGTTAATCCTTTTTAATAACATGATATGTAAATTGTATTTTTGCAAATGTTCAATAAATATATATAGCATGATGAGGTTATTATAAACCCAATCCATAAGATTTAGGTGACAAGAAAAGTGTAGCATTCTTCACAAATTTTGTGGCAGAATAGCTACCAAAATATGTAGCTTGTAAAGAAGTCTCCATCTCTAAGACTATAACAATGTACCACATTTGGTATGAGAACAATTATTGCAATAAAATTCAAAATCAAGCAAGATCATAAATTGAAACCATGCCTAATAAAACAATTATCTTTTTACATTTTTCCCGACTTGAATTGGGAACTCGATGACGTAGATTAAGCTACTAATCTTAGCCCTCATTTGGGCTCCATTTTAATATGTTTTTGGGGACAATGTATTTTAAAATAGTGATTATTTTGAAGAATGTGTGGTTAAAAAAGAAGGAAAAATTTTGAATTTGTATGTAATATTATTTTATTGAAAAATGTGTGGTTAAAAAATGAGAGAAAAAATGCATTTAAGATTAATTGGAGGCCATCAACGTTTTGATTTGAGCCAAACAAAATCGTTTCGAATTGATTTGATTTAGGTTTCAATTTTTGTAAATCATTTCGAACCGCCAAACCGTTTGTAAAAAATTCTGAATATAAATTAATTTAAAATTTATTCAACTCCATATTAAACATAACATTATTAAACTCAATATCTAAATAGACAATTATTCATCCCAATTAATTAATTAAATATGAAATCGAATTCCCATTGGTCATCATAACTATGAATGTAAAATCCTCAAATTATGTGAAGTGTTGAACAACTATAGTTTTACCATATTTATTGACTATCCATTACAATTTAGCAAACGATTAAATCTAAATTTTAATTCAAACTTATCCATTTATTTTTCTTCTACTAATAATTTTCTCAAATTTCGACCAGACATCTAGTTCAGATTATTCAAAATTTCTCATTTTTGATAATTCTCTGTTATATTTCATTGGTAGTTGAATGTTTTGTTCTAATTTGTGTTGGGGCTCCCTTAAATTTTTAGCTGACAATATTTTTGTTTATTTGTGTCTCGACTTCTTGATTAGGTCACTAAATTAATTATTTATATTTTAAATTTATTTTCTATTTATTGTTAATTAGTAGAATGATTTGGCGAATTATAAATGGTTGTTTTGAAGATTTTGTGAATGAGTATTTTTACATATCACTTGACGAAAATTGAAAGCAAATAAATACAAGATTGTCTCACCAAATTACTTTGATGGATTCTTTATTTCTTTAGAAATTTGTTGAGTGCAAATACTGTTGATGCGATGATTTCCCCTACAAATTGATTGCATAGTGACAAGGAACCTATATTTATTTGTCAGTATTTGGATAAAATAGGAACAGTAAATGATTCCCAAAAAAAATTATAAAATGTATTATCATATTTGATCATTCTATTCATTTTCTTTTATTAGTTGCTTCATATCATTAAAGTATAATCGATGAATTCATGTTATATTCTTATCCTTATGGAGGGACGAATAATGTGTCACAATTGCAAATGTTGTGCCAGTTACTATCAACTAATAAGTTTAAATGTTTCTCTAATGTTGTATTGTAGGAATTCGAGTTATAAAACTTTGATTTGTAACATTTTTAACGATATTATTTATATTTTAACATGAAAATTTTAGGCTAATATTTATGATTTAACTTATTCAATATATGTTATTTTCCTCTTTGTTAAATTGTGGTTTTAAATTGAACCAAATTGAAAAAAAGTTGTTTGGATTGGTTTGATTTAAAAATTGAAGTTGTTTGATTTGGTTTGAAAAAATTTCAAATCCCTTTAAGTGATTTGATTTGAAAACTTGTCCCAAACCATTCAAATCGAACCATGTTCAGGGACTTGCATATTTAGAAATAAAAAATCATTTAAAAATAATTTGCAATTAGCCTTGTTTGATATAGATTCTTTAAAACTCAT